GCTTATACACCGTTGTGCTTTTTGTAGTTTTTAGATCGCTAATTGTGTTGTTTACATGCACTTCGCAAAAATCTAGGTCATTTGTAATATCGACTATTCGTTTGGTAGGTTTTTACCCATAATATTACAAATAATTTCTAAAAACCAGACTAATGAGACTACTTTGCTGCTGTTGTTAGCATTGTTGGAGTATGTTGTTGCCAGCCAGAGGATGATAATGGTGGTAACACACAACAACGCTGGCTTAGATGCCTGCGTTACGTAATCGTGTCCTTGTAATCCGAGTCAACTTTACCGTTAATCTAGTGAAGTTAAGTTACTTAACGATAGACGACTTAAGCCATTATCTAGATATAATTGACTGGTTCACGTCGAAATGACGTCGTGGATGTATATCTAGATATAAGTTTGACATGAACCAAGCTTATATGTACCGGTATGATCCCCTCTGCTGCTCTCCTTTGTGTTTCAGCTAGAGGACTGAAATGTGCCTCTCAGAAGAGTCACTTAAATCCTGTCCAATGTGCATGGTAAAGAATGCACTTGTCAGGAAAATACTAGGGTTGGTCTCTTCATGGAGGTATAAAAATACCTCCATGGTCTCTTGCTGGACTAGCCAATCACCACCTGAAGGACAGCATTGGAAACAAGTGTATATACTTGGTGGGTTATCCTTCGTGTTCAGTAGATAACCAAATGCCCCTGAAAAGGTTCTTATTGATAAACCTTCTTGCATTGCAAAATATTGTTACTGTACTCTACATACAGCATGTCTAACAATAAGCCGCTTCATTTAAGACCTGTACATTTGGTATTTAAAATATCACCTTTTTTTTACCCTGTATAGCCCCCCCCACCACTATTATTATAACATTTTATTATTCAATAACATTCAACTAACTTCAGCAACACCATTACAAAATGTGGATACCTTTTTATCAATGCCATGGAAGGCTTCAATTACTCTACAAAGAAACTTCACAGCTGATGTTAGGTTCCCCAAAGGTCGTCTGCTCAGTCCTGCCCGTTTATGAGGGGACAGCATTCCATGATTTTCATTGGTTAATGCAGACCAGTCGAGGTTGTTAATCAAGACTAGGCAGATCTCAGATAAAGCAACCAAGGTGGACAAGTTCTATGGGAAGCAAACATATATTACTTTAGTATACTGTAAAACCAGAAACAAGTTTCTATTTTAACTTCTTAGTACACACGGCGCAGTGGTTGCACATGTGCAATCACATGCAGCGATGATTAGAACCTCCCTGATCAGTATACTTACTGAGTAAGAAGATAAGTTAGAATAGGCCTAGAATTAACAAATTTTTCGAGCTCAGCATCGGAATTTAAGGTCAGAATAATGATATAATAATTGAAATACATTCTATTTAGTATTAAGTTTATACACATTTAATAAATCCACCAAAATAATTAAAAATATAATTTTTAAAATGCTCAAGTTGTTAACTCTTCACAAACATGTCGCAATTTGTGGGATTTCCCTATTTAGGCCTAGGCCCTAGATCTGCATTGCAACGTCGTCGGCGAGTTTACCAACAATTCTTGCTGTTCATTGTTTATCCGTCTTTAAAAAAAAATTGAAATTAATTTTTGGTGTAATTCAGTGATATATAATGACCAAAATCTAATTTCTGAAACTGATTCGACATTCACGATGATCATATAGTACTCTACCAATCTCTTTTGAAACATAGAAAATGTAACTTGAAAATTATTCGAGGCATAAAACTTTCGCGAATCTGGACCATTCGCATAATTCGCCAAAGATTAATGCGCACAAAATTTCCTGGTTTTACAGTAGTTTTATATGTCTGTAGAATGCAAACACCCCAAGCTATTTATATTCTGTGATTGCAGGGCTTGTTATTTGAAGGCAAGATCAAAATTACATGCACCTTATTTGATTATTTGGGGGAGAGGGAAATTTAAGATTATGTGGGGGATAGTTTTTTACACATGTACTACTGCAGTCATCAAAGTGGTAACAGTATTAGGCATTTTTATTGGATTTAAGCTGTGTGAACTGTTTATCAGAATATATCAACTGATGAAATTTAACAGAATGACAGGAAAACTTACCGAAAGCATTTTGTCATCCAGTAATCTGATAACCTTTTGTGCGAGTTCTTCACAGGCATGATTTGCTTCTGATGTGGCCACTAGAGCTGAACACCTAGCAAATGCTTGGTAAAGTTCAGTCCAGGTCTTCAGTAAACTCTTCTGATTAGCCTACAAAAATACAGATGTATTTAAGAAATTGATTATGCTATAAATATTCCAAGCTGACCTCATGTCTCTGTCTATTAAGTTGTAAATGTTATTTGCCAGTAGTACAACAGCATGTACAAACGCTTAAGATTAGTGCCCACCATAGATTTAGCTCTGTTCTAAACGAGTGAGGAGTAGATGCCTCACATAGAATACCACAGTCGTGTCGTACAACACCAGGTGGTATCATGTGGTATCGTGACAGAACACTGCAGTACTCTATATTCCCATTCACCACAATAACCGCATAATGCGTCAAAAGGTCACGAAGTCAACCTACATAATTAATTACGTAATTATAGTTATAATTAATTAAAAATAGTTTATGCGGTATAGTGTGCATGCAAGTTAAAAAAATATGTGAGAAAATATAAAAAAAAACGTTTATAGAAAATATTTCTTCTTCCATTTATAATTAATATCTAAGTTTAGGGTAATTAGCAATTTGTAATTTGATTGTTGTTTTTGTAACATGATCGCCTTGATCGAGGCATCGGCGTCAATACTGGTGATGAATAAAATCACCTAAAAACACACTTTATTTTCAGAAAGTAACTATTCTGAAACTTTCATACTATAAATATATTTCTAAAATACATACTGTACTACATTTGGTTATTATATCGACATATTTCCGCGTAAAATTGATATTTTGTGGCTGAAAGCAAAGCATACGCTATCTTGTGTGTTTACAAAAATGAAAATGAACCCGGAACATGACTGTTGAACTTTTCAGCTTTCTGTTTTTCGGTGACTTGGGCCATCTACACGTTGAGACAGATGAAAAAGTAAGAAAAATTCTGATACCAAAATTGTCCTTTATCATTGTAATTTTTCATATATTTTTTTTTTATCATCTGTATTTTTGAAATATACAAGACGCAATTTTCACATGACCTTGGACGGCTAGGCAAAAAATTATAAATTATGAATTTTACCTCACTAGGTAGGTTAGGCTATTCCTGGTACGGTGGATTCAAGTTCGCCAAAAAGCCCCAGTGGCCTAGAGGTTAAGGTGCATGTATATTACGTACAGTAGAACCTCAATTTTACGTAAGGTACAGGACCGGAGGGTGTACGTAAATCGGGGGATTCGTAAAATAGAGGTTGGGTTAAATTTGTGGTAACCTTTGACCTAATACGTACGTAATGCTCAATATACGTATGTATGAACGAACGATGTTACCTAGCTAGGCTAGACCTAGCCTCTAGGCCTACGAATAAAACCATCCATGTGTTTAGTGTTTTTATTCATCACTTTACGATGTCATAATAAAGTGTTGAAATAAAACCATGTGTCTAGTGTATTAATTCATCACTTTATGTCATTTATTTAACAAAAGAACATGAAAATATTGTAAGATTACCTATACGACAAAGGTATAACTTGGGAATTCCCCTTTATGCCTATTCTAAACAACAGAGCTGTGGTGTTGTCTGGGCCTGTTGAGACAAACTAAACCCATGTGCACTGGGCGAGCCAACCAATTATCGTTCGTGTACGTGAAACAGCAAAACCATGTGCACTGCACTGGGCGAGCCAACCAATTAGTGGCCTACTCAGCTTCGTGTAGAAAATTAGACCAGACAAGTTTTTCCATGGTTTGCCACACGAAACTAAGGAGGAAAGCGAATATTTTGAGCACCATTGGTGGTAGTTGTTCATCTCACTCAGTTCACTTGGTTTTAGATTATAACAACCCGGTATTAGACTCAATCAACATTGCTGTTAATTAAAAATAATACGTTGCATTATGGTTTGTTTATTGTTATAGTTTATTGTTATAGTCTTTTTACTTATGGTTGCTCTGAAAAGGGCTGTTTGTTTTGAATATTTTCGGGGTTTTTGATGACGTCATCGTCGATACGAGGCGTACGTAAAACCGAGGGTTCGTATAACTGGGGTACGTAAAAACGAGGTTCTACTGTAGTTTGAATTACGGTTTAAATAATGAAAATAAAAACCTGTTGGACCTGGCATTTTTCATCAGACTACACTTTTTAAGTGCCTCCTAACATACGTTTTGAGTCAAAACATCAGTAAAGAACACTATACTTTTAAAAATTAAGATATCAGTTTGGTTATTTCTGAATACTGAATGTATTATGTATATTCTAGAAATCAGAAAAGTATGTAAAAATTTACCAGAGGGATTGTCTTTGGTAAAATGTGTATTACTGGAAATGCGAGGGCAGCATACATAGTGCTAAAGTCATGCTCCAATGAATCTCCTTGGTTGACTTCATTTGTCTAAAAAAGAAAACACGAAATGAACTTAAAACGATATCTATTAATTGTAGACAGACCAAAATGTTGCAACTAAGGGGTCATCCATTATTTTCATAATTTTCATGAGTGTACAAAATATACGCTGGGGGGGGGGGGCGGTTTGAAAGCATGTGTATGCTTTTAAAAAATTACAAAAATGACGATTTGGAAATGTTAGCCTACGTTTTTCTGCCTAGCCATTCCCCTAGAAAGCTAAAGTTTACCATTATAAACTCACTGGTAAATGTTCAGTTTATCATTTCTTTATACATAGCGTCATCTTACATCCCTGATTAACGATGTGTTGATAAGCATTGTGCGCATTTAAACAATTTCAAAATACAGGAGAAATGCACTCTACCTCCGTAAATTTGAATAAACTGTAAGCCAGTAGCTGATGACACTGACAGTAGGGTAGCAGCATTGGGACCATGTGTTTCACCGTGCTGTGCTACGCCTACCTTATTTTCTTCTCCCTTCTTCTACTTCACTAGGCCTAATTCCTACCTTTTAAATTCAATGGGCCTACTTCACTCATTCTATTTAACATTTTAAAACACAATTTATTATTTGTATTTCATGGATACTCATGACACAAATTTTACGTGTTATCTATTACTAAATACAACACCAGCAATCCACAAGGAAGATTCAAGCCTAGGGTCTAGTGAAGTTGGCCCTCATCCAAAAATATATAAATTAATCACTACTATTCTAGGTGAAAGTTTGAACATGTGCTTTACTTTTTGTGTGCCAATTTTTCTTAAACTTGCTTTCTACTTTGTCTGAATACTCAATTATTTTGTCTATGTGGTAATAAATTTAAATAACATAAAATGTTTATGTTTATAGTAGACCTATATGCAAGTTTGCTATGTCAAAAATGGAACTTACCACTAGTTTGGCTATGTGGTTATTGATTTTGCTCATGTTTTTAGATTGGTAAATTATTTGTGGCAACTGTGCCTGCAGTCTATTGTCATGGTAACCAAACTAACCAATCAATTATACTGCAGTTCTGGTATTTTATAAGCTGCTTGTTTTTATAAGTATAGTGTTACCTGAACACACACTGAATGAAAGTTTAAGGCAATTAATTCAATTTGACAATGACAAAATCAGCAAATTTATTTTGAAAAGTGTATAGAGAGCTGTGATATATGATTTGTTGACCACTTCCAGAACTAATATATATACATATATACTGTATATAACTGAAGTAAACTATCGCAATTATTACAAGCAGAGTGCTCAATGGTAGACCAGAGCGGATATAAATAAATAAAAAGCGAGGTTCAACAGTAGCTTTGATTAGACATTTTTTATCTA